AGTGAGTTTTGATTTTATTTAATTTTTGAATTTTTTAAACAATTTATTCAAAAGTGATTGAATTGAGGCATAAGTAGGAGAGAAGAAAAAAAATTCACTCAATAAAGGATAGTTTATCTGTAATTAATGACTCAAGTGTAAAACCTTTTGAGTTTTAATATATTTATTGCCTTGAGTTTATTATATTGCTGCATAAATATGATTTTTATTAAGCGTTTGCTGTAATGATATGTGCCATTTGAAGAAATGATACAAAATTGTTTCTTTTTTTTGTTTTAGTTTTTTTAGAAGCTAAGGAAGAAGTCTAAAAGAGAACCGATAAAACTTTTCAATGTAAAAGATGGCACTTATTGAAGTCTATAACATCTGGCATGTGTGTTTTTATTAAGAAAAATGTGAGAATAAAAATTTTCAATTGTTTTTTCTAAAGAGTATGTTTTTTTGCCTTGTTGAATTGAGTTTAGTGAGTCTGAATATCCATCCAAATTGACTTAAATACATTTTTAAGACATTTAAATTGATACAATGTTATTAACAAATATCGATTTAAATCGATTTTAAATAGATTCAAGTGAGATTTGGATGGATTTAAGTGAGTTTTGGATGGATTTTAGTGAGTCGGAAAAACTATCCAAAACGATTTAAATCGATTTTTTAGACACTTATATCGATCTAAGTTTTTCTAAAAAGATCGATTGAATTCGATTTAAAATCCATTCAAATCAACCGGAAACGATTTTTGTCAGTGCGGGTCTGCTAAAAAAGTCAGTTTTAACTTGTTACGCTAAGACTTAAATTTATACATTATGATTTTAAAGCCGCAAAAGAGAGTTAAAATTGTAAATTGATCTTCCCGAATTTATGCGAAAGTATATTTCTCAGAAATACAATTGGAGAAACTGTTTATAGAGTCGTCTTAAAGTCCCACCAAAATTGGTTGACGACTTAACAGCTGTCGTCTTATTGACCGGAAACAAATCGGCATAGTCATGTTTGGAACGTTTTGCGCTCAAAAAGCTTAAAAAGCAGATACGTGTTTTAAATTGTTTTGCATTGGAACCTTTCGTTAGTGGATCCGCATCAATAGATGGTTGTTCCTGATTCAAAAAACAAAGACTGCTGTTCTTAAAATTATTTTCAGGTAAGGCAGTACAGGAGTGACAATCAACCTCAAGGCTGAAACTATTTGCCGAAAACTTTTTTTGATTACTGTTTTTTTTTTCAACCCAAGTCAGTGACAAATAAATTGAGCTTAAGATTAGCAAAGATGAAAAATAATATCGTCCATTTTAAATGCATCATCGCACGTTGATCAAACAAAAAGTCATTTGCGCGGTGTCGTAATTTTGCTTTATAAAAAAAGCAATTGTTCAATGTTCCTATTGCATTGGCTCCATAGTAAAACCAATATTAAAAAGAATGCACTAAAGGAATTCAGAATTTTCAATCACCATAATACTTTGGCGCTGATGATTTGTTTCAATTGTGGTTCTTTTATACGTCAGTGTTGTTGTATTTCATATTTTTAAGTTGTTATCAAAATGAAGAAACACGGAGAGCAAAAACTTTGCATTTGCTACAGTTTCTTCTAATTTAAAATCCATGTGAAAAAAAGTTTCAATGGAAGCGAAAATAGCAAAATACATTAGGATTCCACCAGCTAAAATCAAAAATATAATATGTATGGGCCAAAGGGGATATGGTCAAGAACTACATAATTTCAAGGCCTACTTTTTTAAATTAAAGAAGACTTTCTGCTCCAACTAGCTAATTTTTTTCTATTTTTTTAATGCGAAAAAAAATGTGTATCCGCATGGCAGACTGCAATTAAAGAAGTTGCGCAGGTCGATATAAGGGTAGTTTGCTGCGAAAAGTAAATTGATACCTTTAAAAAAAGTTTTCAAAAACATGTTAGATGGAAAAACGTTTGAAAACAATTTTTTTTCCTATTTGAAAAAAAACTGCCGTAATTTTAGCAGCGTAGCTTAACTCTTGGCAGCAGCAAATTTTTTCTTCAACTTCCGCTATATTTGACGGAGAAAAGGCAGTGATATTCTTGAAAAAACCTATAATTAACAACTTTGTCAAAATTTGAATAAAAAAAAACAAAACTTGAGGGACCAGGGTGTAAGGAAGACATAATTATTGAACGTTTTTTTTTTTAAATTAGAGAGTTTCCATTCAAAGTTTTCATTCTAAGAAAAAAAATTGGAGAGGAAATCTTTGTCGTGTTTCACGAGAGGGCAAAGAATATATCAAAGAAAAGATACAATTTACTTTTTTTAAAGAACACATATGTGAGATTTTAACAAATCAGTTGATGCACTTCTACGAAACAAAAGTATAAAAGTTTGTTGTAAGCTTTTTTTGGAGTAGGTCCTTAAAAAATAACTTTTTTGAGAAATATAACCGACTAAATTGTTCGCTAGAATCATTATTTCTGTTTTTTGTTAACTCTAATAACCTTAACTGCGACCTTTTTTGTTAAAATGAGATCTTATGCTGGCTTGATGGTATTTATAAACCTTGCTTGGACAAACATTTGAACGATTCTAAGGTTTTACAATTGCACGCTTTTTTGCACGATTTGGCCGGATTCATTCATTAGGGTCATCAAGAGGATCCAACCTACTGCTATATGTTGCCCTGCAACCATAGCAACAAATTGTTGGGACATTTGGATGGAATAAATTTGTGTCTTTTTATTAAGTTGAAAAACCAAAAAAAACTATCGTTAAATATCCTATGCTGTACAATATGCAATTACTTGTTAAAAAAACTAGCAGACTCAAGCACTGTCAATAGCACACCATCTTCTGTCTTCAAAATATTGTTCTCGCACGAAGTTATATCTCCGCTTCCCAAATGATTGGTTGGAAATTTGAAACATAGCAGAACCTTTCATCAGTCTCTTTGTAGCCATGGCCTTGACAACGGTTTTACGGTATATGTATAGTTGATTCGAGGCGCAAAGTAGTCTAATGAGAACTTGCTTGCTTGATAGCTTGCTTACTTACCTTTTTACTTATTTATTTATACTTACTTACTTATTTAACTTACTTATTCTTCACTTACTCTTTTTTGCTTAGCTACTTAGGTACTTACCTTATTTGCTTTCATGTTTTATTTTTTCCACTTAATTTTTTATTTAATCCTACTTCTTTTTAATTCATTTTACTTTACTTTACCTTACTTTAATTTACATATATACATTCATTTATCTGCAACTTTTCTATGCTTGATTAACTGCGTACAAAATGTTTTACATGTACATAGTTAATTTAAATCATCAACATAGAGTTCGAAATTCAAAACTCATTTTTCTTTAACTGCAATGATTTCAGAAGAAAAATAATGACGACGTTCAGAACTTAGGAAAAAACAATCTGATTTTTACTTTTGAAGTTTTTGCACACCAAATTTACCCAAAAACGGATTTCCAAATTTCCCAAAAAAAACCACACCAAAACTACTGGGTCAAGTACTGACAACACTCAATCCAAATGATCCTTTTAAGTAGTCCAACAAAATTTAAAGAAAAAGTGACCTTTAAATAAAAATTTTACATCGAGATTGAATGATAAATTTGATCAGAGTTAGCTTAACACAATAGATGACTTGTCCAGAATTTTTTCTAAGACGGGCAATCAATTTTTTTTCTCCTAGTCTCTCTTTTTTTAATTGTTCCTAAAGCCCAAAAAAAATTTCAAAAGGACAACCCAAACATGCCTGTGTTCAGTCTGGTATGAGATGACTTCCTTTTTTGTTTTGTTTTGATAAGTAGTGAAGAAATAATTGCTTACTTTCTGGCCAACAGTTATAAAAAATAGTTTATTTAATTAATATTTTAGCAAATATTTAGAGTACTTTTTGAGATTTGATGGGATTGGTATCCAAATGAATACTTTCACACCGTCTGCTTGCCACGCTCTCTACATTCGGCCGGATAAGTTTGTGCAACTGGTGCAACACTGAAATGAAACTTACTTTGTTCTAGAGTAGTTACACAAAACTACAACATAAGTCTTCGCGAATTATTAAACAGTTGTAATAAAGGCAGTTTTAGTTCTAGAAAAGGCGTTTTAGTAAAGGAGTTTTTGTCTGATATTTCTTGCTCTTTGATATCTTTGAAAACTTGAAGATATTTGGCAGTTTCTTAATGAAAATATGGACCGAGTTGTCAAGTTTTTGTTAATGAGTTTGATAAGATGTCAAAGATTTCTCTTGAAACTTCAAAAGCTTGAAGAAACTAGGATTGCAAATTTTTTTGAAAAAAATTTTAAAAAAATTTTCACATGAATTTTTCGGTCAAAAAAAATATTTTAAAAAACCTTCATAACAAACTCTAAGTTTGTTATCTATTTTTGACATCATTTTTTAAAAAAAAATGTATTTTAAGTTATACATTTGAATAAATTATACTTGATTGATAAGAAAAACCACAAGCGGTAAGCAAGCATTACTTTTCATGTATACACAGTATACTTTTTCTTTGTGCGCTCATTCTCAAACAATAATAAGCACAAAAATCAAATAAAAACAGCTTCTCTGATTTGAATTTCGGATTTTTCGCAGAGCTGGCAATTTAAGTAACATGCCTCAAAGTTAAAAAGACAGAAAAAAAGTTTTTGTAGTTTGCAAAAGGTGGTTTTTTCCGCAATCTTGATCACAAACTGAAAATAAACAAAAAAACTGCTTCAATAAAAAACCAGACCATAAAAAACTGCGTCAATTTAACAATTTAACTATGAAACATAAACAATTTCTGCATTCTAGATCATAAATTGTTAACAAACAATAAAAAGCTTCTGCTTGCATTAAATGATATATGCTCAAACATTTCTTGTTTTTGGCAGAGCTGGCAATTTAAAACATATCTCTCATCATAGTTCATTATTAGAGTAAACCAAATTGCAGTTTTCACCAATGTGATATGGTTTTTGAAGCTTGGTGGTCGAAAAATGAACAGACGTTGAGATCAATTGAGTTTTGATCTTCGAGCAAACAGTGTCTTTGAATGCATATTTTGTTTTCATTTTGCATTATAATATCTTTTACGAAAACAGTTTGCTGATAAGAAGCTCTATCACACAAAATCTGCAGAAATAATTATGATTATATGCTCGTGTTTTTCGTTGTAATGCACTGAACATACACAATGAAAACAATGTGAGAGCAAATTTTTTTTCGTGTTGGAGCAACCGAATATAGAAACTGAAGTCAATTTATCGATCAAAAAATTTATCACACGAACTCTGCAGGTAAGAACTGACTAGATTTTTTTTTGTCCCGTCAGGTTTCCAATGGTTACCACGGATTCTCAAATTAGCTACGACTACGCAGCAGTTTCGTGTTGCAAAAGATGACAAAAAACTGTGCTAGGTGTCATTTTTTGCTTAATAACATTCAAAACTATGAAAAGGTGATAGCTATTAATTTTTCAGGGAAGTTACCGAACGGAAGCGTTACAAATGGAATGCCCGATATGTCTAGAAAACATCAGCAACATTCATGCTCTTATGTGTGGGCATTCGTATTGCGGACCTCCGAAGTCATGTTTGAAAACTTTGGAGCATAACAAAGGAAAAGCGACAAAATGTGCGGTTTGCAACACTGTGATGAAAGTCAAAGTATCCAATTTGAAACCACTGTACGGAATACGGGAGGTTTTGAGTGAGTTTGGAGGGATTGCTAAACATTGCCGAGAAACGGCGGAAAAACTAATGCCTCTGCTGGATGATATCGACAGCGTTTTATCCGAAACGGTTCGCGAGATTGAGATGCTGGAAGACAAAAAGTTGAAACTTGATCAACTTAAGGAATACAAAACCTCAATTGCACAATTTGTGAATGGACAAAAAACATTGTCCAATGATCTGAGAGAGCTATTTGACACTGACTGGATTGAAACGATTGGCACAGACAGGAATTCCCTGAAAAACATCAAGCTTACACTATGCATCGCTCATGTCAAAGATGTTGAAAACAAAGTTCTATGCTCAGATAAAATTCACATCCGTGGTTTTCTGTTTCACATAGGAATTGAAAAAGTTTTGACCGACGGAGAAGAATGGATAAAAAGCACTTTTTTTTATGATCTCGCGAACACACTAACTAGAGATGCTGAAATAGAAATAAAATTTCAAATAGTTCTTCTCAGTTCTAATCCCGTCAAAAACATTAAAGCCCGATTCCTTCTACACAAGGGTATTCATGTCGGTCTATTCAAACATGATTTGGTCCGCTGGAAAAGTTTGCAAGACCCCCTGAATGGATTCATATCAAAAAATGAATCCCTTGTCTTTGAAATCTGCGTCGAAACTCTCCGCATTATTGGAAACACCACCCGGCAAGCTGATGCAGTTTTGGAATTCTCCGAAGCCGAACCAAAATGTAAACGTACAGTTTCATATAGTGTATGGTTATAAGTTTCTAGTTTGAGAGTAAATTTATTATAATTATCACAAAGTTATTATTATGATTAAAAAAAACCTCCATGTTTGTAGTTATTGCCTAAATTTGACTTTTGAAATGATTGTTTTCTTACCTGAGCACGACCCGCACCGAGCGCCCATGGATCATAATCGATTATATTGTCATAATTTGGTCAGTATCTATAAAATGACAAAATAAGCTATTATAATCCATTAAAAATGGATTATAATCCTAATATATTTTTTTCAGTATAATCCATTATAATCGATTATAATCCATTAAAAATGGTTTATAATCCTAATATTTTTTAGGTTTCATAAAATGTTACCTTTCACAATAAAACTTTTGGCTCTATTTTTTAAATTCATCGCAGTTTAACACTCCAATTTACTGTTTCTTTTGAGTTTTACTGTATTCAACCGCCCATCCCTCCCAAGTTTACCCCCATCCCCCCAGTTGACCCCACCCCCGAGTTCCCCCCCCCCCCCCCCCCACCCCCGTTTACTACCCCCTTTCTCCAGTTGAGAACCCATAACCCCCCAGTTTATACCAACACTCCCCGCCCCCAACAAGTTTATACGCTTACCCCACCCTTTTATGGGGGGGGGGGGGGTAAAACAGGGATTACGTTCAGACATGGCAATTAGTAAAAGACTTGGCGTACATTTTGCAAGTTTCTCGCAAAATTTGCAAAATTTTGCAGAAACAGTTGAATTTAGTTCTAAAAATGAAATGGATTATAATCAACTAAAATGGATTATAATGGATTTTTAGTTCAAAAAAAATCGACTATAATGGATTATTTTGGCAAAAATAATCGATTTCAGAGACAAAAATAATGGATTATAATCAATTATTATGGATTATAAAAGATATTTTTTTGTTCAAAAATAATCGATTATAATGGCAATATAATCGATTTCGTGGTCTGAATTTTTAATTTGTAATGGATTATAATGGATTTTTTTGGCTCGTAATTCCATTATAATCAATTAGAATCCATGGGCGCTCGGTGCGGGGAAATAACAGAGTCCAAAAATCTAGTTAACCTAAAAGAATTGTTTTTTGACGATTTAAATTGGTCAAGACCACCAATTTTCCTAACAATTTGGCTTTAACTATAGAGCAACTAACACTTCATCAGTGGAGATTCTGCACATAGAATTTCGATATGGCGTGTAATTTTTAAACTGATAGAGAATAGTTAAATTCAGCCAAAAAAATCAATTACGCAATTCAAAAAGACACTATTTCTTTATATTGAATTTTTCTTGCTTTTTTGACGTTTTAAAAATTAGATAAAGTGTTTCTGGTCTAAGCTCTTCCTTGATGAAACGACGAATAATTTTATTCACTTCCTTGAGCTTTAAAATACATTATACAAATTTTGAAAACAAGGCTCCCCCAAATAGAGACAATTGTCATTTCGCTTAGTTGTCTTAATCTAGGGTTACACACTGCTATCTGTCAACAGTAGTATAGCGAATGAATTCTCACAGAAACATTATTGGCAAAGATCGAGGACAGGTGTCAACCTTGACATTTTTTTCAACCAATGAAATCACGATCACAAAAGCAAAAGTACCACCGTACCGTATACAAAAGTATCGAGCTTTTTACTGACTTTTTCTGCATTTCAACCAATATAAATTCGCAAAAATGTGTGTGTGTTTTTTGGTCAACCTGTTATTCAAATAATTGATTCAGCTACAAATAATAAGCTCCGAAATCAGTCAATTTCAGGATGGGGCTAGAATTGCCCCAAACAGAAAAACTACTACATTATTATCTATTGTTGAAACAATTTCAATTTGACTGTTTACTCACTTCCCCTAGATTTTCTGTATACTTAAATAGCATGTTCGAAATTTTATTGATGCTAAAGTGATACGAGCTACTAAATGTTCGACCCCTGCAACTTAAACCATCTGCCCCAATGCTTTCGATCAAAACCTTTCTCATAGTTTTTTCAGGTTCTTTTTAATTCCTATTTTTTGGGGGATTTTTGATTTTTTTTTCAGTTTTGATTGTAGTTTAATTGTCATTTGGTGTCTTTCAATGTTATTCTTGTTTCGAAGGGTAGTCGCGAATTTTCGATTTACAGAGACGGGCAGATCGGAGATCGAATTTCGTTCATTCTACCTGGGAATAAAAATATAGGGGAAATTGATCAACAATTGATTGTAAATTTTAAAGTTGTGTCCGGATAGTTTTAGATTGCTCTTTTTTCGGAGGCTCTTAGGCTACTCCTTCAACAAAAACGAGTCAAAGTTTATACAAAAATTGTAGTCGCGCCACTTTTGGCTTTTTGTTACATTTTTTCTACAAAATAGGGGTCTTCACGTAATTTAATGAAAAATGTTGACCAAATTTCCGATGTGGAACCAGTTTTAAATTAAAATTTAAATTTCTATAAAATATTCCTAACTATTCATTCATATTCCATCTCTAACATTTACACTTATTTGTAAGTGCTGAAACTACTTGTAGTTTCAGTACCAGAGCAATTTGAATTAAACTTAGAATACAGTTGTTCTCATTCTGGAACTAACTCGCGTAAACCGGTGTACACTAGATCTATTGACACTAAGAGATATAAGAGTAAGATTAAGATTGGTATTAGACTAAGAAGTTGCACGAATCTATCCGACTGAAAATGAGATACCGTGACAAGCAGACGGTGTACTTTATCTGAAATTACTCTATGAGTACAGTCAACAGTACATAACTCATCTGGTGCGACTAAAAGTCTCGAACAAGACCTTAACTAGTTTAGATTTACAAAAAACAGACAATCGCAAAATTGCTAAAGTATTAGATGAAATAGACAATTTGTTAGAAATGTCTCTACGACTCAATAGATTTCCGCCAATTTTCCAAACAATACGAGAAATACCAGGTATTGTGAGAAGACCAAGGACAAGGCACGATCTACGATTAGGAAGAAATCAACCGATTGACTTCATGTTAGTACGACGGAAACCGGAACAAACCTTTGTATTTAGAATCCTTTCCGCAGTAAATTTAAGTTTTCATTTGCGAACAAGAAATTTGAAGAAATTTTTCAGCAACCTTATTGGTGCTAAACCTACTATATATACAATAACGACTGATAAAAACAACACAAGTCGTTCTACCCAAAAAATTTGCAGTAAACTAAAACACTTTGCATGAAATAATTTATTGAATAAAAAATACAAAAATCGGTTGAAATAAAAAAAAATTATTGTTATTTTTATTAATATATACACATCATTTCTTCATCTCATCTTCATCATCTAAAAAATAACAGCAAACTTTGAAAAACTAACATCATCTATAATCTATCCTTACTAACTCTTTTCAACTTAAAACTTTTGCACTTAATCTTATCAAGGCTTATCCTTGCTTCCCTTGGATCTTTAAAAACACTTAGATTAAGTTTCTTAAAGTTCTGATCATCAAGGTTTTCGTTGGATCAAGCAGAACAATTATAATCTCCCCCTCCCAGATTTTTAAAGTATCTAACGATCTCAAACGTCGACTCACTATCCAAACCCTTATAATCGACCTAGGGATAATAGAAACTTTTGAAAAAACTAACCAATTTAATTAAGATAAACAGTTAAGAACGTTGGCTACTTTTCCTTCACTTGAGCCTTTCCTCTTAGATGACCCAGACTAAAACCCTTAAATTAAGTAAGTCATAAAATAGTATCTAACGATCTACTTGCGTTCTAATTATACCTAAACCTTGTGGATTGATTTACTATTCTTCAACCCTTGATCACAAATCACAACCCCTAAGTAAGATTAGGTAAGTGTATCATATATTAGAACTTAGTCACGAGAAAATAACAAAACATTCTGAGGAATTGATAAACTTTTCTCTCCCCAACCTGTCAACTCCGACAATCTATGCCCCAAGTTGAGATAACCACACAAAACGCGTAAGGACTAACAGTTTAAGAAATTAAAAACCTCTAACCCCAGAATATGGCATCCATCATCCTAAACCTTACGTCAAGAGATAATCTAGCCAACAAACAAAAAATTGTGTTACATAACAGCTTAATTAAAAACAAAAAATTTGACCTTGTTATCACACCACACAGACAACAATAGGATATATTAGATCAAAAAGACAAACACAAAAAAAGGCAATCATAATTAAACGAAAACAAATTATCACAAAACGATTTTCAAAACGGAGAAACGCAGTCTCTGAATCAGAAACAAACACAATACAAGAACTTCAAGATTTTAAAATCTGGATAAACAAAAATAACCCGATCTACGACCAATAATTTTTTTCCGACTAAGAAGCCATATCCCCATCATCAATAAAAAGATCACGCAAAACAAAAAAGTCATATATCAAAAAAATAATACGTCTAAATAATTGGAATCAACCAAAAAGACATATTGAATGTTACACACTGACAGTTTTACAATATAAAACATGATCGAGTACAACGAAAATTTCGACAATAACTCGATACTCCACATTTTTCATACAACCACAAAATAATCCCACCCGAGGACAAGTACAATTTTGTCACAACTTTATTGTACTTTTATTCAAAAAAGGAAATAGCCCATGTAAACAAGAATTTCTTGAAGTAAAAATAAACGACAAACCCTTGACCACTATCTCAAAGTTATACGTAATATCACATCATATTATGGTAAATTTACAATCGAAATTACATCATCAAATCCAAATCACAAACAACACCAAATACAAAGCGACGATATAGATATAGAATCCTCATAAGCTTTTATCGAATAGGTAAAAAAAACACCAAAATTCATAAAGAACAGTTTCAATATTCACAAATGATGTTTTTCTAATGATCTATAGCTATCTATCCATATTATAAATGAAGGAACCACAAGGTGACTCACCAACTCAAACATCCCGACATACAGCCGTAAGACAAGAAATAAGTATTTTCTCAACATTTTTAAATACAATCCGAGAAAATCTCACTAGTATGATATATCACAAAATGTTAAACATGATCTACTAAAAAATTTAGCATTTTTTATAATTGATTTTTTTGTCCATAGCATTGATCTCATATCACCAGCAAGAAAAAGTTTCGACCACAAAATACA